CACACACTCTCTCTCACACACACACACACACACACACACACACACACACACACACACACACACACCTCGTCGTCTGAACTGTCCTGGAAGCCCTGTGTCAGAGATGAGCTGAGCGACGCAGCCTTGGGCTCCAGATAGCAGAGACACAGCGCCAGCGGGAAGGAGAGCGTGAGCGCGTACGGCACCGAGAACGAGGTGGAGAGCAGGAAGAAGAAGATGAAGAGGAAGCAGGGGATGAGTGACGGAGATTTGATGGGCATAAAGTGATGCAGGCTCTCGGGCAGAAAGCGCAGCTCGGTGAGGTCGGGGAAGCTCAGGTAACCGTCCTCATCCAGCAGCGAAGGCAGATCAGGGAGGTGCAGCGAGAAGGAGAACAGCGTTCCTCCTCGACTCTGGTTCATTCTCTGTTTGCGTGCGGACAGAAGCAGCGCTTGTTCCTCCAGCAGAGCCGCTTTACGGTCCGCTTGGGCCTGACGGCGCCGGCAGCCCACCGTGGTTTTGGCCGGACTGACGGAGGCGGCGCGCTTGCGGCTGCTTTCTCTGCGTCTCCTGCGCACTTTGGTGGACGAGACGGGAGAAGACGGGAGAGAGAGCTCAGATCCCAACGGATCCGATGAGTACAGACACGACTGATGACGATGGAGGGAGAAAACGGCGTAGGGAAAACATGCATGCATAAAAAAGTATGCATGTTTGAAACAAAAATGTGTGGTCAAGAGAAGAGCAAGAGAGCTGGTTAGCATTGATTAGACATCCTTTTTGATTATAACAAAAAAATTACAGAAATTTCAGAATTTGAGAAAAATAAAACTGAATTTGAGAAAACAAATAGAGCATTTTAGAGGGCATTATTGTTGTTAGAATTTTACTACGTTTTCCAATGTAAAAGTTTTATGAATTGAATTGACTAGACATCCTTTTTGATTACAAAAAGAAATAATGTAGGAATTTCAGAAAAAATAAACTGAATTTGGGAAAAAATGAATACATTTCTTGGCCACTATTATTGTTAAAATTATACATTATCAAATTGTAAAAGTTTTGTGAATTAAACTTAAAGTAGACATCCTTTTTGATCGTAAAAATTCATAGAAATAAAAACTTATAATTTATCTAAAAAAAAAAAAAAAGAAATAATAAAACCCTGATTTTATAGTGTCCAGGTCATAGTATTTGTAATAGCAGTTCAGAAGCATGAAAGCTGAAACAAACCCCATAACAGCAGATCTGCTGCTGAACTGTCATTCATTTGACGGTTACCTTGGTGACGGAGGGGGGCGGGGCTTTTTCTGATTCGTCACTGTTGGCTTTATATTCTTCCTCCACTGAGTTCATCTCCTCTGCTTTCTTCTCCGGCGTTTCTATGGCGATGAAGTCATCTGTAGCGACAGCGGGTTTGGCGTTCTTCTCGTCGTCATGGCTGACCGTCACTGATCACACAGATACATTGTTACGATTGCTCAGAAAAACACTGAGACTGAGAGAGCCAATCCTCATTCAGAAAAGTTACATTTGATACTAAACTTCACAGATTTCATCCTACATCAAAAGGGAGGAACAAATCGGTATTTATATATGCAAAAACGCCTTTGTACCTTATACACCAGTACATAAAACATATATATAAACAAAAAATCACTATATGCATTAATACATCAAATGAGCAATATAACTGATTTGCTATAATTGTCACTAAAATTAATTAATTATATAAATTCTAGTAATGCACCAAAATGAACATTTTGGGTTGGAACCTAAAAATATTATTTAATAATCAATGAATTAATCAAATGTATTTAATAATCAACACTAAAGTTGTACAAACATTTAAATTGCACAGTTTTATGTCATTTTTTAATAACAGAATTATGTTTTTACTCCAATTTGTGGTTTAAATATAAACATCAAAATGGTAGCTGTAAAAAAAAAAAACCCTTTGATTTATTCAAACATATATTAAATAATAAAGGCATCAGGTTAAGTAAAAATATAATGAATATGTAATTTAGCCCATATATTTCGTAAAATTCAGTGAATCACCAATACATACTTAATAAATAAAAAATATTATAATATATAATGATGCTAATAATAATTAATAATAAATTTAATTTATTATTAATGATGCTAATAATAATTAATAATACATTTAATTTATTATTAATTTAATTAATAAATGTATTAACTATATTTAGCAAAATTCTGTGCATCACTGACAAATACTTAATGAATAATTTATAAATAAACAATACTATATATAATAATACACATAATATATATATATGTGTGTGTGTTTGTGTGTATATATATATATATATATATATATATATGTTTCAAGTGTACATTAATTGTGATTTATAAAGAAGGATGCATTTAGGACACACAGACTTGTAATGTATTTGCAGGCTCGTTTTAGGCACGGCTTTATAAATGAGGTTTTTACTCAGTAACTTGACTAGCAGGTTAGTGTGAGTTAGCGGCGTTACGCACTGCTGTCCATGCTGGCTGTGACGGTGTGCCGTCGCTGGAACTGCGGCGCGGCTCGAGCGATCTGAGCGCTCGCACAACGCGTCTGTGCTTGTGTTCGCCCGCTGTAGCGGAACTTTGAGCCCAACGACAGGAAGCGCTTGGGAGGAGCTTCAGGAGAAACCAGCCTATCAGGACGCAAGAATCAGACCGCTAGTTAGTGATCGTTTACATTTAAACATTTCACTTACGCAAAATGTGTCTGATGCTTTTAATGCCAATCTTTCACATTTTCAAGCGCATAAAAACGAATTATGTGGTTTTTATGATGACGCAACATTTATGTTTATACCACAGTGATTTGGTAAAAAAATAAAAATAAATAAATAAATACCTCAAAGAGAAGAAAGATTCTTATTTATTTATTTTTGTTAATGATAACAACACTGAAGAAACTAAAATATTTAAAGAACATTATGGCAAGCGCAATAAAAAATGCTAACTGAAATGAAACAAAATATAAAAAAGTATATTTTATTGTAGCTAGTTGCCAAAGCAACATTTTTCATTTTCATTTAATTTAACTTCATGAACTAAAATAACTAAAAATAAAACTAAAATTAATTATTTTTTAAATAAAATTAATTAATAAAAACTATTTTAAAAATAAACAAAGCAGAAAATATAAAAATATAATAAAAATAAAAGCTAACTTCAAATAATTATAAAACTATTTTATTATTATTAATAAAACTATTATCTCAATGATACTAAAATAACACTAAACTTTTATTTGAAGCACTAAAATGACAAACTGAAATAAAAATGAATAAAAACACTAAATATACATATATTTAAAAAACTAATAGAATGACAAAAACACAATTTCAGATTACTAAAATTAAAATCAACAGGGAAAATATGAATGATACTAAAATAACACTAAACGTTTGTTCAGTTTAAATTGAAGCAGTAAAATGGCAAACTGAAATTAAAAATTAGTAAAAACAAAATAGACATTTAAAAAAAAAAAAAAAACATAAAAATGACTAAAACAATTAAAATCAAAAGGGAAGATATAAGAAATAAAAAATATTATATATGAACACTACTGACCTGAAGAAGGTGTGATGCTCCACACAAACTTTCCAGAGTCTCTTTGCTGCTTTGTGATTGAAGAGTTTGAATCCGATGGTGCTCTCGAACTGTTCCAGCTGAGCGAAAAACAGAAAGCCAAGCATCTGAGACTCGTTCAAACAGCAGATTCAGATTCTTACATTTAATCAGTGAATTAGAATAGTAAGACATTTGGGCTGTTAGCAAGCAAATTAAATCAGTATCAATTCATCTTTGCAGTGCTGAGGAAACACAGAAGCTGCGTCTGAAGAGGCATGTGTTTACACACAAGACATGAATGCATTTAACCTGTAGTTACTAATGCATAAATAATGTTTTGATATATTAAACAAAACGTTGAATACTGATATTCGAAATTATCTAAAAAATAAAAAGATACTTTAAATGTGAAATTAAAACCGCCAGCAGGTGGCAGCAAGTCACTGTTAATAAGTGAGTCACTGCGACTGAACCGAATCATTTAAACACTTGATTCATTCAGGAACGAATCACTGTCATGTTGCTCAGAAACACAAAACAGTGCTGTGGCTGTGTTTGGAATTATTTAAATTATTATAAAACAGGCAATATGGTGTCTAAAACTTCAGTCTCTTAATATTAACTTGTTTATTGAACTGCTATAAAAAAAATCATTATCACATTTGTAATCATGGTAATCTTTGGAGATAAAAACGGCACTCTCTGTGTGATATTGATTAACTATATGAAATTATATAAATATACACATTTTCCGTCCCCATGTCTTGAATGTTGTGATCATTCTAAATGCATTTTAATACTGAATCATGCAGAGAAAGAACACACTCTAAATCTATGCATGCACTCTGAAGGCGAGTTTTGAATGGTTTTTGCAAAATACTTGATAATGTCAAATCGCACATCGTTAAACAACAATTATGATATTATTGCAGACGACCCCTAAACAGCAGTGGATGTGAAGAAGAGCACGAGACTCCACCTCACCTCTCCCGGCCGCACCTTGATGTAGAAGTTGTTCCTCTTGTAGGAGATCTTGAGTATTTTGGGCCAGGCGAAGCGATTGATGCGCAGTTTATCTCTGTAGACGAGGAGGCCGCTGGAACAAACTCCCAGCATGATCTCCACAGCCTCCGAATCCTGACAGAAACACACACAGATCCGTCACAGGAACCGCTTCACAGCAGGGTTATTAACACTAAACTAAAAACACTAAAAAATAACATGAAATAAACGTTTACTGGCATAAAATGAAACATAACAAATTAAAATTATTTTATTTCAGCTGGCTGCCAAGAAAACATTTGTCATTTAGTTGAAAAGCTGAATTAAAATGAATAAATTAGATTTTAACTAGATTTAAATTTTTTTATATTTCATAATTTTGTTGTTTTTTGTAGAGCTGTCAATAGATTAACATTTTTAATCAGATTAAATCACACACACAAAAAACTAAAATTGACAAAACCTACGAAATTACTAAAAATGTAAATAAAATCACTTCAATCCACTTCACTAACCCAACAAATCTAAAATGTTATTTTTATATCATTGCGATGATAGTTTTTGTTAATTTGTTTTTAATTAGATTTTATTATATTTTACTTTTTAGTTTCATATTTTACTTTTTAAGAAATGTTGCCTTTGTAACTTGTTGAGGTAAATTAATTTTGTTATTTTATTTCCATTTAAATTTATAAAAAAAATAAACAGAAAAAATACAAAAACACAACTAAAACTTCAACATTAAAATGAAAATGTTATATAAAATAACTTAAAATATTTATAAAAAAACTATGTTAGTTTTTTAATGTCTGTATAGTTTTTATCAATTTCTATTTCAATTTTAGTTATTTTAGTATTAAAAGTTAAACTAAATTGAAAATGTTGCCTTGGCAACCAGCTGAAATACAGTTTAAATTCAAGCACTAAAATGAGTACTAAAACTAAAATAAAATTTAATCTAAATAGAAATATAACAATTTTTTTTTTTTAAATGACAAAAGTTAAAAATGTAAAATTACATAAAGCTTAAAATGATTTTATTCTAGTGAATGCTTTTCAAGTAATGACAATGTTTTTTATGGTCTTAGTTTACAATAATAACCCCGGTATGGACCAAATAACGATGCATGGCGCTTTTGTCCTTTTAGGATCTTAACAGTGTCGAAAAATGTCTGAACTGATTTTGTATTGAAAGATTTTTCCCTTTATGTTGCACAGAGATGATCTCATGTTCAGAATGAGGAAGCGTCTCTTTAAACACTTACACCAGGAGACGATCAAATGAATCAATAAACCAATGCAGCTCAACACGAGCGTCTGCAGCATCAGCGTGACCATCAACACTAAACGACAACACAATGGAGAACGAATTCACGATGAAGCTGCGAGACGCTCGTGTTGAGCTGATATAGAGGACAAACAAAGCACGACGACACGCCGAAGACCTTCATCATCCCGCTCATGCAGAGCCACAGAAACACTACAATAACCATCACAGACACACACAAGACCTACCAAGAAAAAACACACATGTATCCACAAACACAGACGACACACAGCATCTTACCTCCTCCTGCGCCGCTGCTAAACACTCAAACAGCCGGCTGACCAGCTGAGCCAGCGGAGGAGGGGCGAGAGACAGAGACAGACACGGAGAGAGAGAGAGAGAGAGATGGGCTGCAGCAGCGAGAAAGTGCATTAACATCAGCACATTCATTTATGATCACATGAGCAGCTGCGCAGAACCTGAACGACGTCATTTAAAGGTGCAGTACGTACTTAAGAACATCTTTCCACTGCAGAGGAAACAATAGCTGCATCTGAAGTGGCTTTAGATGTATTCACACAGACTGCTTGATGATAAATGCATTTACACCACAAAATTTCAAACGCATAAATAATTGTATAAGATTAATGTTTTTGAGCATACAAGTTAACTCTTTCCCCGCCAGCGTTTTTGAAAAATGTTGCCAGCCAACGCCTTTGCTGATTTTCACTAAAACTTCATGGCCCCCAGAATATTTTGCTGTATGAATATCTGAACATGCAATACATAAAAATAAAGATCAGACCCTCTTGCTTTCCAAAAAAACAAAAATCAGTTTTATTCTAGCTTCAAGCATTGTTTTTTTATCAACACTTTAATGTGGGTAGGTTTAATAAAAAAGCAACATTTTGAGCGAAAATCACATTTTTATCAAATACTACATCTGGATCATATTCAGTAATATTATCAAAACAAAGCTGCAGTAGATGGCTTTCATCAGCGCTCCCAAAGCTTGCACAGGCCTTTAACACATTTCACTCGCTAACATTAGGCAGTTTTCATTTATATGCGCTTAGTGTTGATGATCGCATTATTTTTCATATGCATATGCTTACATATGAGATCGCTCGTTTCTGCGGCTTCCTCGTCTGTGTTTTTGATCGGCACTCATTCATATCTATTCACGAACAGCTTGTAACACTCCAAAGAGAAAGGAAAACTTGAAATCGCATCATACGACCCCTTTAATGAAGCTTAGGTGCCATAAATGCATTTACATCACAATTTTCAAATGCATAAATAATTTTATAAGATTAATGTTTTAAATATTTTTAAATGTACAAGTTAAAAATGTTGGGAAAAATGCAATACTTTTAAATATGAAACCAAACAACCAGTAGGTGGCGGCAAATGACTCTTTAAACAAGTGAGTCATTTAGTCCTTCATTCAACCGATTCATTCAAACGGCTGATTCATTCAGAAACGAAGCAAGTGACTCTTTATGAATGAGTTACTGAATCATTGACTCACTCGATTCGTTCAAAAACGTGGATTCATTCAGTATCGAAACACCGCTGTGTTGCTCCGAGACATAAAACAGTTCTGCTGTGGCTTTGATTGGAGCTATTGTCGTCAGCGAAACTGAGCAAAAACAGTCAATATTTAGACTTCTTGTTTATTGAACTACTATTGAATAAAATCAGTGTCACATTGCAATCGTGTTGATTTTCAGGAAAACATCTTTCCACAAACAGAAGAAGTGTGTTTTAGCGCTCGGTCCGATCCACTTTCAACAATGTTTCTGAGAAATTGCTTACTGCGCCTTTAAAATGCTTGTGTGTTTATTAAATATTTGGGATAATTTGATGATGCTTTTATGTAACGTAACACTTCATGATCAGTGGCATTATCTGTGTTCACAAGTGTTTAAATAAACATTATAAACTGATAAATCCACATCGGAAATCTGATTGGATGAGCTGCCTCTGAAAAAGTGGGTGGGACTAATGCACTTTATTCAAATTATTTCACTTGAATAGAGCGCATTAGTCCCGCCCACTTTTTTCCAGCAGCGCTGGTTCCAGAAGTATTTTTAACATTCATTTTTCCAACAGGGATTTTTTTTTTAAAGTCTCTCTTAAAGCATTAAAAGCCATGAATCAAAGCAACCAGCTACAAGCAGAATCAAAGCACTACAAACTTTTATTTGAAGCAAGAAAATAAATGAAAGTATTTTGTGCTTCATGGGAGTGGGCAGAGCTAAAGATGTCTTTTGGGCACATTGCTCGCTGCAACTCTCTGATTGGTGGAATTTTCTGTGCAGCATCATGGGTAATGTAGTTTTCCACCACAAACTTCACTATTAAACATGATTATTTTGAAAACAAGTTGACAGAAGGGTTCAACAAAAGCATATACCATTGATTAACATCTAGTTTCGCTCTATTCTATACCAAAATGCACTTTTAAGTGTTTATTTCATTGCACTTTTTAATCTATTTGCATAAATGTGTGCACATTTAATTATATCATGCCTAATTTGCCTATTTAGACATTTCAGAATACTTGTATTAGAAAACAATTGTCTTGATTGTGATTATTAACTGTTGTAATGTCAGGACGAGCAGCACTGCAGCAGGTTGATGAGAGAAGTGTTAGTACAGCAGACGCACACACACACACTCTCACACACACACACACACACAAACAAACACACACACACACACACACACACACACTCTTTTACCTTGGCACGATGCAGGTCGACTCCGTACATGGAGAGTTTCTTTGCGTTTTCCAGGAACAGCATGTCAGCTTCAGCAG